CTGACATTAATCTTCTGTCTTTCCTCTCAGAATGATTTCCCAACGAGGATGTCCCTCGTAGTTTGAAGTTGTTGTGGACAAGTCACGGTGATGGGCTGGATACCATGAGGTGACTGCAATAGAAAAGATAGAGAGCAACAAGCAAGACAAGCCTCTGTGAACCTTTGCAGCCATCGGCCATGGACTCCGTTTCTATTGTTTGTCTCATCGGCGGCGTAGGGGCTTTCACACGAGACAGACTCCCATGAACAGTACTCGGTCTCAGAAGCTCTGGGAGTCTGACAGGAAAATGAGGCCAGGGCTCTCTTTGGCACCCTGTTTTCCAGTGCCCTCCATTTCACGCTGGAAGGCAGCCACATCCCCACTGTCCCTGCAGCCCTGAACTACAAGCGAGGCTGCCTGCGTGCCTCTTGCCCTGTCCTGTGTGCAGAGGGAAGCCTTTGCACATACCTCTTGCTCTCTCTGTCTCCTCAGTTCTCTGTCTGGATCAAAGTTGTCTCCATACTTGCACTTAGAGCCTTTTCAGTATCATCCCCATGCTGGGAGGAAGCCTTGTTCTACAGCTGCAGACTGCCTCCAGCTTGTCAGGCCCTAAATCGTGAAAGAAAATCTACATCCTTCCAGACACAATAGAAAAGGACTGATGAGGTGTTACTTTGACAAGGGCTGAACAGAGACAGAGAGAGACAATTATGGGCTGGTTAGTTCTATATTTAGTTCTGTTCATTGTGTGATGAAAGTTGCAGGTGAGATCGATGTATTATTTTGAAAGTGGATCAAAGTAGCTTTTATTGTAATGAGAGCATGATGTGTTTTTCCCCCCATCCCCGACTGTGTTTTGTTTTGATACTGTTATGTTTCTTTGCAGTCCAGCTATGACCCTGTAGAGCTTCGAGGTAGAATATCCACTCCACCATACCATAAGCAGTGCTCTAGCCTTGCTGGCAGTCTGCTTCCAGCACCACCCGACATCTCTGGATAGCAATTTTTTGTTTTAAAGAAGGGGCCTTTTTGTTTTAAAGAAGCTAAAAGGGGGAAGTCTCAGAGGGCAGCTGTCTCCATTCTGTCCTACCAGTATTACTCCTTTCTGGTCATTGTCCCCAGACATTGAAGAGAGCAGTAACAGCAACGGAAAAAGAACTAACACTGTGGATGAACACAAGCTTTAAAAGTCACCTTTTTCACTTACAGCCATTTCATTCACTTCAGTTGTGACATGGTTTTAGTGGCTGTTGTCTCAGGAACAGCTCAATCTTGAAGTGGAGTACTTCAAACTGGAAGCCTGACATTCTGGTTTACATTGGGTAATCTGCAGCCATTTCATTAATTTTTAGCTGCTAACGTCATAATGTGAAGGAAGATTATGGGAATATTTTAAGGTCCAGTATCTTAATCCCTATCGTGTAGAAACAACTTAGTGCCCTGTTGTGTTATGGACATTGTCAGCCTCCGAAATGCTGTTTCTGTTCTTAACTCTGTCTGGCCTCAGGTGCTCATTCTGGCAACACTGGTTTGAACACAAGATTTATTAACATCACTGCAATTCTTCATTAATTTCTGTATTACTCTATTGCCAGATCAGTTCCCCAGGAACAGTCAGGGGAAAGCAAGAGTAATCTTCATAGATTTGATGACAGTGCAGTCTTCATGCTAGAAAATGAAGTGATGAAAAAATGGTGTGCTTGTCCTGTGCTCCTCTAGTGGTGACTGTAATTTTGGAAATCCCAGTCCGGGACTTATAGGCCAGAGGACTGGAAGCCTCCTCTAAATAGACATAGCTGCTCTGTGGTCTCCTCAGAGCCTTCTTTTCTCCAGGCTGAACAAGCCCAACTGTCTCAGCCTGTCTGCACAGCAGAGGTGCTCCAGCCCTCTGATCAATTTTGTGGTGTCCTCTAGACCCGCTCAGGCAGGTCCATGTCTGCCTTGTGTTGAGGACACCAGAACTGCACAACAGTCCAGGTGGGGTCTCACAAGAGCGGAGTAGAAGGGGAGAATCACCTCCCTCGACCTGCTGGTCACGCTCCTTTTGGTGCAGCCAAGGACACAGCTTTCTGGGCTGCAAGTGCACATTGCCAGCTCATGTTCAATTTGCATCCACTGGTACCCCCAAGTCCTTCTCTGCAGGGCTCCTCTCAATCCCTTCATCCCCCAGACTGCACTGACATAGGGGGTTGCCCCTACTGAGGTGCAGGATGTTGCACTTGGTCTTGTTGAACCTCATGGGGTTCATATGGACTGACTCCTCAAGGCTGTCAGGGTCCCTCTGAATGGCATCCCTTCCCTCCAGTGAATCAGCTGCACTGCTCAGCGTGGTGTCACAAACTTGCTGAGGGTGCACTTGGCTCCACTGTCTGTCATTAACAGAGACTGAAAAGTACTAGTCTTAATACAGGACCCCTTGAGGGACACTGCTTGTGTCCATTTAGACATGAAGCAGTGGACTTTAACTCTCTGGTTGTGTACATCCAGCCAATTCTTAATCCATCAAATAACTCATTCATCAAACCCATCTTTCTCCAGTTTACAGACAAGGATGTTGTGTGGGACTGTGCCAAAGGCCTTACAGAAGTCAAGCTAGATTACATCAGTTTCTCTTTCCTTACCCACCAGTGCAGTCATTTCACTGTAGAAGGCCTCCAGATAGTCAGGCACTGTTTGTGAAGTGCTGTCTCTGATTGCCTCCCTGCCACCCATATGCCTTGATAGAGCTTCCAGAAGGATCTGTTCTATGACTGTACTGGACACGGAGGTGAAGCTGACTGGTCTGTAGATTCCAGGGTCCTCCTTTCTGTCCTTTTTAAAAACGGGTGTGAAGTTTTCCTTTTTCCAGGTGCTGGGGGCCTGACTGCCTGAGACTGGCTTAGCAACTACATTTGCCAGTATGTGCCAGATATATCTACTTGTGTTATGTCTGGAGAGACTGCATTTTAAGTACTTCCATCTTTTCTCATCTTTGATACATGTTTCTAGGAAAATCCCAGCACAGTTAAAAAGAGGTGGTTGCCATCTGAGGTCTCCATGGTCTTGAGAAGCCTACAGAGCTGCACTACATGCTATTTTAAGTTAAACACTTCATCCCTGACACATGATGATACTAGCAGCAAGAAATGTTGGTGTTTTGTTAGTCTGAAAACCTTAGGAAACCCTATGCCATGAATTTCAAAGGAGCTTAGGCTGCTATTTTTTCCATCAGACACCCAGCAGACCCAGGAAACATTCTACACAGAAATTTGAAAGTGCATCTGCAACAGTGACTGTGTCAGAAAGGGGGCAGAATGGTGATTTAACAGTCTCCAAATACCTGTATCTTTTGAATCATGCTGAAAGCCAGAGCATCACAATCTCCTCATTTCAGTTATGTCTGTCCCTTAACTCAGCCACTGCAGTTTATCTGTTCAAGCCCTTAGGAATGAGTTGTGTGTATTAAAAATACAAGCCGCCTCAGTTTATTGAATCAGTTTTGTTTGCTCAGTGCTGGTACTTCAGGGCATTGTGTACACTATGCTTAAGAAGTTACCATTTATGTATCTAGCTTATAAATAAGTAGTTGCAAGCTAATTCTCTTCAGAAAACTATTTTAATTGCAGAACCAAGTGTTCATAAGAACTCTCTGACATTTCTTTTGAATCCAAGCACATGGAAAAGTATGAAGATTTTGTGATGAGTTTTATCAGGTGATAAAGATTTCAGCCTCAGAAAAAAGAAGAGCAGGTCTTAATTCCCTGAAGTCAGATGTGGGCAGCACCCGTCAGTTGGCTGCACCTCATTCTAACATCACAGATGTCTTATCTCCCTGTGTAAACCTGAAGAAATTTTCAGTTACTGATAGTGTCTCCTCAGGCCATCTTTATTTTTCTCATTAGAAATGCATCTGCAGCAGCACTGGATGGACCAAATAAAGCGAGGGGTGAGACAGAGCGGGGCTTCCATCTCTAGCTACGCAACCGTGATGAGCTGTGTGACTGGCAGCAGAGGGGAACCAGAGGCCAGAGGCTGACAGCCTGGGAGGAGCCTCTTGCTTCAGACAAGAAGTGATGGTTTGTGCCTGTGCCATGGGTCAGAAGACCTACAAGAGTGCTGGCACTGCAAGATAATGAGCCTGGTTGTTATGGGGGCTCAAATGGTAAATCTTCCAGTGATCAATTTTTATTGCTGGCATAAAATTAAAACCCTTTTCATACAGGATATGGATGTCTGGATCATGTCAAGGACATCAGTGGTTTTGTGGTCTTAAAATGAAGCATCACGACAGTGGCTTGCTAAGAAGACAACTGAGATGATGAGTGAATCCTGTAAAGAAAAAAAAAAAGAGCCCTTAGAGCAACAGCAGGATGAAGCATCAGCCCTAAATTTGGCTGTGCTGTCAAAAATGGGATCTGGCGTACTGAAAAAGTTTTGACATAGTAGAATGGGAAGATAAATACCAATAGTAATGACTCCCCAGCAATCCCATTATTCCTTTGAAGTACATTGTAACAATTCCAGTGTGTGGCTTCAGTGTGAGTATCTTCAGACCACTCCATTTCCACTGAAATGGAAAATTAACAAAACTATGAATACTTCAAAATGCTGAGAAACTGTAACATCTATCATCTGAGACAGCCAGCCAGAATTATTCAGGCCCTTGTGCTGGCATACAATGTAAAGGACTGAAAATGCAAGCGTCCCAGCCTTCATTAGTACAATTAGGTCAGTGAGGGCCACCTTGCCTTCCCCACAGCCAGCACTGGCAGCAGTGGGTGCCAAGCTTCCCTGGGCTCCTGCCCTGATGTCTGGGTCCCCCCTGTAGCTCACTGAAGTGGGGTTTTCATTCTGGATTGTGACTGTGCCTGTTGCCCAAGAGTTGCACACATTTCCTGACCTCTTACAACAAGGCCCCTCTAGGTGGGCAGTAACAGTTCACCTGCAACATAAGATAAATGGGTTTGTAATCACCAAAGAAGCTTTCATATGCTGGTCCTCTCCAGAGCTACCTAAAACTGTCCAGAGAAATCTGTGGGAGGGAGCAGCAAAGATAGTATCAGGCATTGTAACTGGCCTTTTGCAGGGAGGAGAGAAGAGCCATT